GCGAAGAATTTCTAGATGGAGGAGGAGGAGGGAGCGAGCAAATCTTCTCTTTGTTCGGCAACTGCGAACATGGGATCGATGCCGCCGGTTGATCTAGACGAGCATTACGCGGATTACGTCGTTAGAGGCTGGATGAAAAACGTGGGCTCCGGTAATGGGCCAATTTTGCAAACTGAATTTCTCCTAATAATTAACCGAGTGTCCTTGTTCTTTATACAATAACGTAACACGCGTTGCTTCGTTCCCAACGTTGCAACGAGAGAGACTATTCCGTCGTATATTAGATATAGAATCTATCAGAATATTCGATATTCTGATATTCTATCAGAATTCGATCGATAATCGAGATTGAAATAAAATCTCGATTAAGAAGAAAAAGAAAAAGGTGAATTAAGATGTTCTCGTCTAAGACGAATTGGCGTAATTCAAAATCGTCGAGGATAATGAGAGGCAACCCCTTTTCCGTTATACACCATGCCAATGGGAATTAGTAGGTTGAGGTAATAAGTAACAAGCGGCGGCAGCAGCCAATCTATTTAGAAAAGAATTCAGGTTTCTTAAGGCCATTCAATGGCCCGTAATTCCTAACTCTTTAGAACGTTCCACGCTCCTTCTCGACGCTAGGTTTCCAGGTAATGACCTGGGTCATAATCTGGTCCAAGCGCTTCACCATTCTTAGATTCGCTGCCATTTCCTCTCTCTCTCTTTCTCTCTCATTCTCCTTTTTATTATCCTTTCTCAGCTAAGAGATGGAGCTCGTTTAATGGGATCTCGAATCGAGATCTACGAGGTCATCCTTGCTCTTGTCGTCTTCGCGAAATTTCAATTGAGAGTTTTGCACGGTTAATTCCTCACTTTTACTTCTTTACGAGAGATCGTGAGAAATTGTGCGCTTTTCAGGGCTAAATCTCACGCTGTTGCAATCGAAACTTCCTGCGACTGTGTTAACAGGAATGCCTGCTGCGTTTCCACTTTTGTTTTTTAATGTCTCTTGTTTTTTTATGTCATTATTGGCTTCGCTAAAAAAAAGGAAAAAGAAAATTGAACGTGCAATCGCGGATCGATCTTCGTTTCCTTGGCGACGAAAGTGTGCCATAATGCGCTTCGCGATTGCATCATTACTTAGACCTACCCTAATTTCCTTTTATATTTCGTACTTCAAAAACGCGAAATATTTTAATCGAGAAGAATAGAATAAAAGACGAACTCTTTTCGTGAAATATGTAATCGAAAGAGTTGTATCTCGATTATAATCTTTCTAACAATTTTCTTTCTTTCTTTCTTTCTTTCTTTTAAATAAAAAACACGTACTTTTCTCCGACTCCTGGATTGCGAGTCGAGAGTGAAAGCTACTCCTCTCTGAAGAAGAATATTCTGCGCGAGAAGAATAGTCGAATAGTTTCGAAAAAGAAAGAAAAAAAAAAAAACACCCTCGATCTCGATCTCGAGCAAATGACGCATCCCTACGGGGTGCACCTGTCCAGGAACCGGTCAGGAAGAGGTCAGGGAATCCGGGCGGATTACGATTCCGTAGCACCTACGGTGCCGTGCAACCGTTCCACGCCTCGTGCACCACGCCTGGACACGAGAGAGTCGTGGTGACCAGGTAACCCGGGTGGTGCCTGGTGTTGCACTTGGTGTGTAGGCCAAGATGGTGGGGCGGGTGGAGTAGGAGGCTGCACTGCTTGCTCCCTGCCGTTGGACGTGGACGAAGCCGTGGAATACCCGCGAACAACCTCACGAGCTATGGGCACAAGCGAGGGGAAGGAGGGGTCCCCTCTTTCGCCCCCTAAACCCAAGCTGGTGGGACTAGGTATGGCTCTGGTGCCGGCCGCTGGTACGGCGTGGATTATAGTTTTTCTGGGGGGAGGGTGGTGGAGCGCCTTGCTTTCGAAAGGATGGTGATTGTGGAGCGTAGCCAGAGTAGAGTTAGGCGTATATAAGGCCCGCCGGCCCGGCCCAAGTCAGTCAATCACCGGACTACCAGCCCACCATACACACACCAAACATGAAGGCCTTTGTGAGTATCCACCACGGGGTTGGTGATTATTTCGTGGGGTGTAACGAAACGAACGAACTCGCGCTTTTCCTCGATCGTCAGTATCTTCCATATTGCTCTCTTGAACCGCGATATTCCTCGATCTTTTCCGTAACACGATTTTTTGCATAGAATGCGTACTAGAGTTTTCCATCGATCGGATCTTTTCCTTTTCCCCTTTGGAAATCGTTTCCATCCGTCCGTCTTGGGATACGCGAGTAATCAAGCTTCGGGTGACGGTATTCGATATTCGATCGGATAAATCGATCGGATCTTTTCGTGAAGTAGAGTCGCTAAAAGCTGGAGGAAAATCGAAAGCTAATCGGATTCTAATGCCAACTCTATCGACGTTCAATGTCACGGGTCTCTTTTCTTTTCTTTTCTTTTCTTTTTTTTTTTTTTTTCCTCGAGCC